CTTGAACTCACCACTCTGATCTCCTCCTAGAGCTTCCACTTCCGGTTCACCTGACCCTTCATGTTGAGAGGCAGCAGCTTCAGCTGAGGAGCATTTAGAGGAGAACCAGATCAGAACCTGGAGACAGACTCACAGCAAACAACCAACATCTGAATCTGACATAAACTCTACCTCCAAATTTTCCTCATAGATCAACATCTCTTTTTCTGATGATGCTTCATCTAAGCCTGTTTGTCTACAATGACATCATGGCTGTCGATCATGCTGTGGTTCCATAAGGGAATTTACCTTCCTCTAAACTATTTCTGTGAGTCAGATTATATCCTGTCACTAAATGTTGCTTCAAACTCACAAGGATTAACTAGCTTTTATAAAAAGGTCCATGAACAGGAGCCACAGCTACCTGAACTCCTCCACCTGAGGCAGTTCATGACTGATGGGAGAATGGAGACCTATAGATGGATCATTATTCTGCTATAATTTAGATGCTGCACCAGCCTGTTGTCGTGAAGAGAGAGCTAAGTGAAAAAACAAAGCTTTTGATTTACAGGTCGGTCTACGTTCCTACCTTCACCTATGGTCATAAAATCTGAATACAAGTAGCTGAAATAAATTTCCCTGCTTGGTGGCTGGGCTCTCCCTTAGAGATAGGGTAGGGAGCCTGGTCATCAGGGAAAGGCTTGAAGCAAAGCCTGCTCTACTCCACAGAGAGAGGGTCAGCTGAGGTGGCTTGGACATTTTTTTTCAAATGCCTCCTGGATGCCAGGTACGTCCCACCAGGAGGCGGTCCAGGGGACGACCCAGGACACACTGGGAGGACTGTTTCTCTCTCGGCTGGCCTAGGAGCACCTCTAGCTTCTCCAAGACGAGCTGGACGAGGTGTCTGGGTGTCTCTGCTGAGACTGCTGCCCCGTGACACAGTCCTTATTAAAGCGGAAGAAGACGAATAAAAGGACAAAAAAGGCCTTTTAAGGATGAGAACCTTTTTTTATGCAGCTAATTTTAAGAACTACATCTAACATTCAGAAACAAACAAGATGTATGTTTGGCTTCTTCCTTTCACTTCCGATTTTTGAAGTCATAGCTTCTGCACTAACTTTTAATACTTTATAATGAAAATAAAATATATTATTGATTTTTATATCATTCTCCAGTTAAAAAGCATGAATATCTGAATCTTTACTTTATATTTTTTTACATTTGGACATCTTGTATTAAAGGTATAGTGGACGATGTTCTTTTTTCCAGGTGGATCATCAAAATATTTCATCCTCCTAAGTGTGAATCCTTCTGCTCATATGTTTACATACGGCCATCCTAAGTGCTCGTCCCCATTTTCACCTGCCGGTTGTGAGTCTGACATGGTCGAAAAATTGCAAACCTTCTTTTGGAAAGTAAGCTGGTGTGAGCGATGCAAACAGGAACTTTCAAACAGAGCGTGCACGAGGAGAAATGGGCTCGTGCACGCTCTCGCACTTGTTTAAAAGGCATACAGGGGTTTTGCATGTGCATTTGTTTTTAAGTGGCGATTTATGAGTAAAGTTTTCTTCCAGTTCTGATGTTAAATGTTTTTTCATTTCATTTCCTTTATTTAACCAGGTAAAACCTGTTGAGATCTGGATC